CAAGATCGACGGGAAACAAATCAAGGAAAAAAACCAGAGAAACCTCTCCACATTAATGATAAACAAAGTGAAATTCCACAATTTTTCGTAGGATCCAAAATTAGCATAGTTTAAATAATTTTATGAAGTCCTGAATTTAAAATAATGTTAAACGTCTCAGAATTTTGTATAAGTAACATGTAAATTATTCAATCGGCACTAAATCGTATTGATAGATTGAGTATATTTTGTTTTGTTTTTAAACAATGAGGCACACGGAATAAAATACGAATTTCCAGACTAAAACACTTTTTTAAGATTACACGAAAACATTTTCAATAGGTTGACACTGGGAAAGTTTTTCACATTCTTGATCTTTACAAGATTTCTTACTTCCAATATGGTGTATTTTAAAGATCTCAGATGAAAAAAATGTCTCTGGGACTTGGACAACATTTTAGGATTCTGACACTTCGAATGATTGGATAGAAAATTATGATGGAAAGGCCAATTTTTTTTTTAAATTGTAGAGGAATTCTTCTTATTCTTCTTCTTTGAATTTCTAGCTTATTGCTTATCGCATATTAGCATATTGCGTGCTCTCAACTGAGTGTGCTAGATGCACTTCCACAGTTATTAATTGAGAGATGCCTGTACCATTTTTGCATTAGTATTAGTATTGTGTGGCAAGGCAAGTACAATCAAGAAATTTTACAACCCGAAAAATTCTTAGACCGAACCGGGAATCGAACCCAGCCACCTCCAGCATGGTCTTGCTTTGTAGCTACGCCTTTTACCGACTGAGCTAAGGGAGGCCCCTAATAGAGGAAATCTAGGGATGAGGAATTCTGAAATTTTAATTGAAGTTTCAGGTAATTTGAGAAGTAAGTAGCCCCGTAACGAAAGATCACCTTTTCGTGGTACGTTACGGGATGTAACATCTACCACCGATTCCTAGTCCTGAATACTTCAAACTAGGGGAACAGGATTTTTCAGTAATCCAAGGAACACATATTACTTTTTATGCCTTGTTGATAGTGATAAGACTCGGCTTTGTCCACCGAGGATGATCTTGAAACAAGGAAAAAATTAGTTAGTTAGTCTCCATCTATGTGATTCCTAATCTTCTATTCGTTGTTCTCTAGTTTGAAGTGGTTAAGACTAGGGTTCTGATGCATTGTCATTATCGGTGTCATTGCTTGTTTTTGTTGCTAAGGAATCCAATTTTGACTGACAAAGGGGCGCGCCTTTGGAGGGTGTTTCAACACTCCGAAGGGTTTAAATAGCGGAACCTTTTCATTGAGTCGGATCCTTGCGATAAATGCAAGAATCACAACTGTAAAAAAATCGAATACTTCATCATTTCTCAATATTGATGGAGTAATACGACATGCACTAAACTAAGGACAGGGAATATACTACAATAGATCAAATTACTGGCCGCAGTGGTGTTAAGTGCCGAACAGAGGAAAAAAAATTGAGATGTATTTCAAAAAAATGTAAGGTGATTTCTAAGGTTGATCTGAAGAGACTATCATGGGGATTATCGGATTAAAGCAAATCGGAAGGAGTTTAAAAGAGTATTCCAAGGGAATTCTGGAGGGGATTCAATGAGGCAAACTTAATGATGCTATGACTACAATCCTGAAACTACACCTAACAATCACCTACGCCTGAAAATCGATGTTGATCGATCAATTAATCAAAGATAATGTTTAACGAGAGCTGCAACAAAACATGGATAATATTTCCAAGGGAATCTAAGCAAGTTTGAAATTAGTTTCAAGAGAATTCGTAAATGAAATTATGATAATTTTGAAAAAATATCAAAAAGTTTGACAGGATTTGGCGGGAAATTCTGAGCATATTTCCAAAGAAACTCTGAGTAGTGTTCCAGGAGATTCTGAATAAATTTTCTAAGCGAATTCTAAGGAGAGTTTCAATAGAATTCCAAGAGATCCTCCTCAAGAGCATTTTAAGAAGCATTTGAAGGAAATTCTGAGGAAAATTTCAACAGAATTCTAAGGTGAAATCCAAGAAAATTTTGAAACAAACTTTTCTAAATTCTAAATGGCAATAACCTACAAAAGCTTTATACATCATCCAAAAAGTAAATGGCAAATGAATGTAAATGATTTTCGATGCCTGGTCATAGCTAAGACAATACTATTTTTCCTGGATCGCAAATTTTATTCTGCGTTCCAAGTTTTCAAAATTACTACCGTGAAAATTTGCTCAGAGCACTTTGGAATGATCTCAAAAATTTCCTTGAGAATCATTTCCTTCACAGATATATTATCAGAATTCCTCTAAAATAGATTTGAGATTTTCTCTGGGAGTCCTTTAAAAATTTATTTATAACAGTCCAGCAATTCTGTGCAGAAAAATATTCTTCCCAAGCTCCCTTCAATGATTATATTTCAAACTTGCTAAAAATTCTCTTTAGAATTCCTAGGCAAATCAGAACTTTTCGAATTGCAGGAGGTGGAACTCAGCTTTAAATTATCTTAAAGTTCTCCAGACATTCTTCCAGAGGCGTCGCGTGCTTTTCATTTGTTTACCTGTGCACCAAATTTTGTTCGTTATAGTTTACCAGCACATATTAGTTTTTGTTTTATTTTTCAATGCTCCATAAATTCGAGGGACATATTCTCAATTACTATATTAATCACTACCTTACGTAACATTTAAAGGGCCTATCATCTTGTGTAAACAAAACTTGTATGGCCCTTTTCGCGTTAACCAAAGTAGGAGGAATTGCAAAACTTATCAACACTATCAGAATGAACCAGAAGAAGCTCATAAGTTTCGGCAGGCGCACCGGTGCAACCATCGGTAATTGAGAGATTTACAACTGACAAGAGAGTGAGAGCGAGCTTTTCCCGAACAGGAACCGATAGATAATCGATAATAAATGAATATCTTAATGTGGTGTGATACCAGATTTTGGTATGCTTGTGGTATAAAACCTTGTTTTGATATTATTTAGTTATCGAAATAATTTATAAAATATGAAATGAGTACCAAAATAACAAAATGTGATCGTTCAGATTTTAGGAAATAACACCTAAAAGAGTTATTGAATTGGTATTAGAAGACCTTCAAAATAACAAACTATGGTATTCTGGCATCTAAAAAAGCGTCTGTTATCCGTTTGTTGTTGTAATAACTAAATTATTTATTAGTTCGTTATTCGTAGAATATTTTTGATGTATTATTTTTTGGTATTTTACCTCTTAATACCATATCAGGCGTAACATTTGATAACGGCACAAAAGCGTTTGTAAACAAACTTTTACACGCGAACCAAAGAACGCTAACGCAAACCCCTCACCTTTTCGAAAGTTGTATTGGTTTGCGTGGGCGTACTTTGGTTCGCGTGTAAAGGACCTTAGAAAGTTTGTTTACAAATGCTTTTGTGCCTTTATCAAATGTTATGCCTGATATTTAGTTTGCCAGTTATCCTTTTTTCATACCTGAATTTGGTTATGTTTTTTCTGCTCGGGTTGCGCTCTCTTTCTCTATTACTCTCTTTGCCTGCAATCAGAAATCCAAGTGCACAGCGAGAAATGCACGCTTTAGTCACCCATACACAAATGTTCTTCTAATTTAAACTCACACATTCAAACCGGTCTGCAAGTATGATACACGTCCAAAGCGTACCAGACTGCTGTTTCCGTGTTGCTTCCGTTTGACGCGTTGACGCCACCCAAAAAGCTCGCTTTTAGGTGCACTATTTAACGAGTTTTGTTAAGGTAGTGATATCGACATGCTTAGAAATCAATGCATTAGGGATTAGGCAGACCATCCGAACTGAATTTAATCCTTTTTGAAGCAAACCAAGGTCGAAAATTTAATTGAGCCACCCTATAAAATAGTGTATTCATGGTCACTTGTGGTCTGGAGTAACGAAGTACAGCTATAATGTGACCATTAGATCTATAAAAATCTAAACGCCTTTTTTTTTATTATTTACACCTGTGTCGTACACAGGTTGCACATGTGGACGCGATGCCACTGCATTCTTCTCTAGAAGCCTTTGGAATCATTAATTTTCTTAAAACTTTTCTCAGATTTCCTTTGGATTTATACCCTTAAAATTCGATTCCCTTGGTATTTTCCGGAGACTTTACCTTGAACTCTCTTTGTAATTCGCTCATAAATTTTCAACAGAACTTCCTTAAAATTCTACTCCAAACTCTCATAATTGACTTGAAGTTCTGTTATAAACTTTCTAAGAGTTATTCCCAACACTCCAATGGAATTTTTCTCTGAATTACCTAGATGTTATCCTTAGAATTTATTCAAAAATTTCCTCAATATTTATTTTGAATTTTCTCCAAAATTCTCTTGATAGTTCTTCAATGTGACTGTATACTGAAAATCTTGTCCAGTTCAAGGGTCATTAATTTGTGTTCAGGATCCCAAATCCCTTAAGAAAGAAAGAAGTATATTTTTTCTGATTTGCCATCAAAATTAGCGGACTTTCCAGGTTTTTTTTTGTGATTTCGAATTACAGACTTTTTCCCGTATTTCTGATTTCTCGGTTAGGGGTTATGCATATATTATGTCACACTCTAAGGGTGGAGGGAGTGTAAGATTTTGTGACAAGCAATGCATTAGGTATAGAAAAAATGTGACGAAAGGAGGGAGGAGGGGTAACATTTTCCTCACTTTTTCGTGACATAATTAATGTAGTTAAGAAAATGAAAACATTACCGGAAAAAGAGTAAATAGTTTTCTGTGAGGGATTACGAGAAATGGAGATGTTGCGAATATGTCAATAATTGTTTAAAAAATAAATTACGCCTAATTGGAAAGAATTTCTGTGTCACATATCCATCTTTTTCCTGGCACATTCACAGTTATTAATTAATAATTAATTATATAATGTAAGGCAGGCACAATAATATTCTATTTCCACGCTTTCGCAAATCGAGAAAGTTTTCAACCCGAAAGATTTTCAAAACCGGACCGGGAATCGACCTTATCTTCTACTGAATATTACAATTCAAGCTCACCTGAAACTCTTCCGACTCACTCTCGTTGTCATCGAGCAGGTGTATAGTGAACGCACCCCACTGTGTCGAGCTCGCATGAAAGTGCCCATCCTCCACGTGCAAGTACCTCGTCGAGACCGTTTGCGATCGTAACCGATTGAACAGTGCCACCTTCGTACCACTAGCTATACACAGGTCGGCATTTTTTAGCGATTGTTTCTTCTTCGACGGTTTTGATATCACTTTGATTCGTTTGGACTGAAACACACCGATATCGTGTCCACTACCGTAGAACATTTTCACCGAGAGCATAAAGTGTTTCCGTTTGTCCGAATCGGATATGAACAACGTTTTGGCGGCACAGTACTGTTTCGAGTTGTTCAGATCGAGCGGTTGCATGTCCTGGTCGGAGCTGCCAATACCGATGAAGGCACATAGTTGGGTGGATTGTTCACTTTCGCCGCGGCGCAGCATCTGCTCCTTCCGTAGCCGCCAGCCTTCGCCGAACAGGTAGATGCAGGGAGGCGGACAGAAGAACCGTTTCTCATTGCCGTAGGATTTCTGAGCAACCTGGAATAGGGTAAAAGAAAAATAATCACCATTAGAAATTGACTGTATTCTAATGTTTTTAATTAATGTCATTAAATCAAAGCTAACACATTTTCCTCAGAATGTAAATATTGTCACATCGAAGCTGAAACAAGCCGGCCTCTTACTGGACTAACGAAGTAAATATGGTTTCAATTTGTGCTGTACTAGTCCTCATTTGATCCACAGTTGACGACGATCCATGGGATGGGAATTGAACGAACACCGGAACGAAGGAAAATGGGTGAAAATAATTCAGCAATTACAATTTCGACCCATCTTCGGATCTTTAAGAGCGAGTTCCAGCTCATCAAGATTGCAATATCATCAAATGAAGCCCAAAACAGAGATCATCATCGATCATCAACGAGATATTTTATTAGCTAGTCATAAACACTCGTCGTTTCCTGCGGTTTCTCTTCTGTCTGCTTGTTGCTTCTTCTGCCTCTCTCTCTCCCTCTCTCTCTCTCTGTGTCTATTCTTCTAAGCCGTAGGTACCCCCTTCGAGCTCGGTGGTAGATTGATTTTCCCACGGATCTATTCACCACCGAACCGAGCAATCAAAAATTAAGGAAAATGATCAAATAATTGAAAAATTGCCTACAAATATCCCGCGCTGTCGAGGAGATGTTGATGTTTGATGTGTCTTGCCAATTTTGGTGGATGCGTTTCGCTAGATGTGTCCATGGGACACATTAACATCCCATTCCCTGCGCCGTAACAATTTCGAGGAAATTTAGTGGAAAATTTGCTTTTTTGTAAGCTTTTATACGCGGCACATGATAATTGGACGACCGAAATAATGTTCCCATGTGCGCAAAATTGGAACACCGGAATCTGGAACGTGTGGACCACCCGTTGGATAAAATTGAAAATTATACCCACCACTGGGCATCACTAATCTCATTAAGGATCGTATTCATTGTAGAAGTTTGGGATCGCTACTTCTCGGTGCTGGTATGACGATGTTACCGTTGAATCTGATTGAATCACGACGCACGGTAAGGGTGATAGTGTACAGATGTAGATGAGAGCGAGCGAGAAAGCAACAAAACTACAGAGGAAACAGTACTAGATTGAATTGATTGAATTAAATTATTACAATAACATACAAACAACGGCAGACAGATGAGCGTGGAGTAAGGTGCGTTGTTTTCGAAGTCTGGGTCTGATATGAATGAAAGCTGACAGTGCTTAGTGCGATGTGCGCATGGATTATGTTTAGTATTGGAAGCCTCTTTGGCCCCGTGCGTTGGTACTGCAGTATCCGAACATTATTATTGTTTGCAATAATCAAACAGTTAATGACATATTGACAAAATATGGCTATGAATCAATCAAATTACCGCTTTATTTTCAGTAAAGTTACAGAAAAATTACACAGAATAATTTAAATAATCAATTGGAAACTGCGTCAACAGTGCCATAAAAAATAGTAATAGGTCATAAAATAGATTAAGACTATTTTGATGGAACATGGAATAACACAAAAACTCCATTTATGTCATTCGTGACTTGATTCTAGATATGATACGAACTTGTGACCTGCAATATAATGACACGCACCTGTACATATTAATGAATGCATGCGACATTGCCACACAGTATCAAATTTCCAATAGCTGTTCCCTAAATTGCCCACAACCTGGACAACCTATCTTAGGTAATCTTTACGGTATATTCAGATCTAAAAAGTTATTTTTTCGCGGAGATGGTAAAATGCAGGTTGTAAACAATGAATTCCATTGGAAAACTCATTCTTGAAAACACAGAAAAATCACATGACACTGTTATGCGTTTATAGGTATTACAGTATTCTGCTGAATAATAATTTTACACTCATTTGAGGTGACAATGTTAATGTATGCAGAAGTGGATTAACCAATGCGTTCCAAACTCTCGCCGACCGTTTGGCAGTGTGCGTTCTCACGCAATACCGAAATATTTTCCCCCATAAAATACGCGCTGAGACGATAAAAGTTCCGCACATAAATCGAATTTAAGTAGTTTATTGCTCTATCCAACCCGGACGGAAAGCCGGTTGTCGTTTAGTCGGATTCACCGGCCCCGCACCAGACACAGTCCAGTGTGGGTAATGGGGGTGGTTGGCGGTGAGTGAAGAGGGCCTCTACTCTGGACCCAGACACGAAAGCCGCAACAAAAGCGCGACACCAACATCAAAAACAGCAGCAACAACAACAACAACTACACCAAACGATCAAACATCACCAGAGTCCACGGCAGAGAAGAGAGCATCGCCGAGAAGAAGTACCGTGAGAAAATTCCTCCAAACTAATCAAGAGCGAAAGAGATGGGTGGACGAGGAGACTGACTCAGTTGCGTGGTTGGCTGGTTGGCTGGCTGGGAACCAATCTCTGGTGGCCGCCGATGATGTGTACATGTAGTATGTGCAGTCGGAGTGTGATTAAACCAAATTCAATCATTTCCCTTGCCTTTTTCCATGACGGGTTTCACATGTACTCGATGGGTCTGGTATCAGGCTGCAGCAGTAAGACCTTGGCTGTGTGACTGATGATGTTCACGCGTACTTGAGCTTCCCTCTCTCTCTAGCTCTAGATGTAATATAGTCCAGTCATCGTGATGTACCAGCATCAAAGGCTGCTGCACTGTGTTTCCCGTCATTTTGGTCAGTGCTGTGTTTGTGTTGCTACTTATAGTAGTATTTTCATTATTGATTATGTTGTATGATGACAGGGAAATGATGCCAACTTTTCAATGTCATATTCAGCGATGGGAAGCACTTAATAGGTTTCGGTTAAAATCTCTTCAGAGAACCGTAGAAAATGTAAAAGCACTGCTAAACCCATGAATGAGTGGCTGTCCATAAATTACGTAGACAATGTGCAAGAAATTTTAGACCACCTTCTCTTGCGTAGATAATCTAACACCTTCATCTTCTTGGCTCTTGACCCTTCTAATGCGAGTGTTCGCTAGTTTGTAATTTAGTATTCTTGAAGTTCTTTCACAGGTATAATTTGAGAACTTTCCATGTCAATCAATCCATGAATTTGTGACAAGCACAACAATACTCTATGCCCAAGGAAATCGGGAAAATTTCCAACCTGAAAGATTTTCAAAACCGGAGCAGGAATTGAACCCGCTGCCTCTTAATAGGTAATACCATACCCTTACTGAATAGGCTATTTTTAGGCCCGGATATCAAAGGGAATTAAGACACCATTGTTTTGATTTATTTACGAATTTTTGATAAAAGTTGGCATCAAATTCTAGTTGAATCAGCTTAAACTTCAGAAAATGAAAACGAAACCTGTAGATGAAAATCGATCGCAGATTTTTTTCATAGGCAGCTCTGGTCGTAATCACAGAAGGGGGGAATAATCCTAACTGAAATTACTCGTGTGAATGTTATATTTGAAAAGACTAAGATTTTAAGCATGAAAATTAATGCAATATTTTGTCAACATGGCTAGCTGGAATTAAATGCACAAATAAGTTATTCACAATTAATTCGATGTGATGCATGGGACAGTAGTTGTTTGAATTTGTCAAATATTTGCGTTTAGCAGAAGTTGTTATAAAACAATCTACAGGAAAATTGTGATTAAAATTTTATTTCCTCCAAACTGAATATTAAAAAGGTAAATTTTTAATTCAATCGTTCCTAGAAAATATAAAAAAATTATTTTCATTCTTCATGTAGAGACAAAACGATGCTGGAGAATCCCGCAAAAGTTTACTAGGTCGGTCACAGTTAGGCCGCATGGGTTATTGTCCAAATAAGAAAATGCGAAAGAATGAAGTTAGAAATTGTGTTGGAATTTGAGATACTAGGAAAAAACTACAAAGGACAGCCCTATGGAGCTGTACGCAATGGTGACGTAGGGCTACGTGGTCTTATATAATAAATCTTATTTGTTAACTTCAGCAGGAGCTTGCGTTTTGTATAGGAATAGGAATTTGAGCGAGGTTACCTCTGTTCATACTCTTTAGTATGACGCGCTTGGCATAGATGGCCCACAGCGACTCACGAAGAGCTACTGATTCCGATCAATAGCGGTGCAGCTTTTCCCTACTTCTATGGATGCTCATGTTGCCTGCAGCTCGCAGCTTGCAGGCAGCCTTTCGTTGTGTATTGGAGAACGCCACCACTCACCACGGGGTGATTGAATAAACACCGTTTGGTGAGACCAGATAGAATTCAACTTTGAAATCTGTGTTAGGGAAATCGCTTTTCGCAGGCAAACGGTGATAATTTTAATTATCATAGCAACAGTTGCACATTCGTGCAATTTTCAATAGTGGCATTTTGAAAAATGATTAAGTATTAAATTTACCAGTGGCGTAGAAATATTTTTGATCGAATGGTGATAAAATTATTGAAATTGTTCCAGGGGCAGCTGAGTTATTAACGTTCAAAATCTTTCATAATTTGTTACATGTTCCATTTATGGTTTTCACAAAGTCCCCCATACAGAAATCACAGACGTAGTCCTACGTCAAAATCGATTCTACGCATAGGAATATTTTTGCAAAAATCCCAAACATATAGAGTTTCTCAAGAGTCTGATACCTATATAAATATCAAGTTTTTGTACTAGAGGAAAACTGCGAAAATTTTGGATTTAGGTTTAGGTAAAGAGCCATGACATTTAAAAAAACTAAGATTTATATTAGTCGAATTCTGAACTTAAAAACATTTTAAACATTGTAGAACCTTAAAAATATTTCAATAGATTGGAAATTCGAAATCTCGGACTAAAGCATGGTCCATTTAGAATCTGAACGAAATAAGTCAGCTCTATCCCTGGATTGATTTGACGTAACAAAAAAGTTAGGCAGTCAAATTGTAGTTTTTTTGTAGCACTTTTATAAAAAAATGTCAGAAGATTATTCTATAGGGATCATAAAAAAATCACGGATTGAAATTTAAAATGAATTCTTTTGCACACACTTCTGGTCAACCTCTACTGCATCCCAATTCACCATGTCAATTTTATTAA